CCCGGTGGCGCGGGAGCCCGGCGCTGGGTCCCCAGGGTCGGGCCGCGGGCTGTGGGGCGGGGCCTAGGACGGTCCAGGGGAGAGGGGACCCCGCGAGGCGGCGTCAGAGTTTTGGATCGGGGTGGCCTGGGCCCCCCTCCCTCTGTGTGCCAGGGCCCCCAGGTGCGGTCGAGGGTGGCCCGGGCCCCCGGCTCCTGGCTCCCGGACCTGAGCTCTTGGTGCCCCTCCGTGGCGACTCCTGGCCCCTGGCCGCCCTTCTGCCCCAGACCCCCTGCTCCTCTCCTGCGGGAGCTGCCCCGATGTCTAGCTCTTCCCCGCCGAGGTCACCAGCCCTTAGCCTGAGAGTGGGGTGGTGGGCTGTGGCCGCTGCACACAGGCAGGCGGGGCCAGCCGGCTCCCTCTCCTGGGAGTGGTGGGCGGCGGTCAGCGAGGCCTGGGCCCAGAGTCTGAGACCCCTGAGGCATGCACCCCTAGGGGATAGGAAGGGCATGGGCGTGGCCTACATTTGGCAGAATAAGTCCGGGGTGGAGGACGGGAAAAGGATGGAAGTCAGGGCACTCTCCTGGCTAAAGACCCCTGGGACCCCAACCCTGGGGTTCCAAATGCACCCCTACGCCGATTGTGCGGAGGTGAACGGGGCCCCTCCAGAAGCATGTCCTTGTCCTGGCACCCCAGTGGTTGCGACCTAAGCTGGGGCCGGGTTTGTGGGTGTGGCTGAGTGGAGGACTGGAGCTGAGGTCACCTGAGACCCCTGGGGCCTGTGGCCCGTGAGGAATGTTCTGTGAGACAGGCTCGAAGCTACCTGAGGCCAGGCAGAGACCCGGTGGGCACCGGCCCAGGAATGTGGGTGCTGATGAGAGGGCCAGCTCCACCCCTCAGGAGTGTGAAAGGGTAGGGGGAGCTGCTGCCTGCTGGGCTGTGGCGGTGTCCAGCTTTCTGCCTCTTTATTTGCAGCGGCTTGTCTAGGCAGTCCGGGGGTGCTCCTGCACCCACCTTTCCAGGGGGAGCACCACCTGCTCCTGCCAGTCCCCCCCACTGGCAGTGTCCAGCCAGGCCAGCCTGGGTCCAGCTGTGAGACTCATTCCCCTGAGAGGTGGCCCGAGATGCATGGCGCAGGCAGCACAGTTGGTGCCACCTGCAAGCTCCAGCAAGCCATGACGGAGGGCCAGGCCCTCACAGTGCCACCCCCAGGTGCTGGCACGGAGCAGGATGCACAGGCGCCTGGGGCTCAGACCTGCACCCACATGCTGGTGGGGTTGGGTAGGGGGCTGGCCTGGGAGCTCCCTGGGCAGAGTAACATTCTTCCCCGGAAAAGAGGAGGCTCCAAATTGGCCACAAGCGACTTGTCCACTCTGTCCCCGGTGTGACGGGGCCTCAGCGGCTGCCCTGCACGGCAGAGCTCCAGGCTGCTGGGAGGTGCCTGGCAGTGGCTCAGGGCTGCCCCTGCCCTCACTGGCCCCCAGGCTGTACCTGGAGTGACCCATGAGCCCTTGGTAATTTTACCAAGGCCCAGGGTCAGGAGGCACCCTGGTCACATGCTTAGAGCCCCAGAACCAGCATCATCACCCCCAGGTGGGAGCCTGAAGCACCTGCCCACCCACCCCCACCCCAACACGCGCAAGGATCCAGAGGCCCAAGACTCTGGCTCCACCCAACTTCCCTCTCGGAAGTGCTCCGGCCCCTAGCTCGGTGCTGCCTCCCTCCAAGCCCCTAGCTGCCCAGGTTGCCTCCAGAGCCCCTCTCCAGCCCGGTGGCCTGAGGGCGGGGCTTGGTCTGCTGCTGCTCTGCGCCCCTGCGCAAGGGCCCAGTTTCCACGTCCAGTGTCCAGTCGGCCTCTGCCCAGCTCTGGCCTCCAGCAACCACCCAGGCCCCTCTGTGATGTCCCCGAGCCCGGCCAGGCTCCTTCCTGAGCAGGGCC